ATTTATTTCAATACGTTAGTGATACATAATTGTAAATTCTTATTCATTTATTTTTATAATTGTTAAGCACTATTGGGCTTTTTATGGAAATAGGGTTATATAAAGAAATAAAGTTATTATTATTGTTATTACAAAGGATAGCTTCATAGTGGGCCATTTTATACGCACACCCGGCCTTCAGTCCAAACTTGATTATTCAAAAGTGTAAAACCACGTTTACACCAACTAACCTTGTTAAGTTATTAATTTCTCTCTGCAAGTCCTTTCTAATTCTAAACAGGATGAAGAAAAAACAGTAAAAAAGGAACAGGATTAAAACTACCTCCCAAACGTAGCCGAGTTTAGTGAAACAACGTTTGAAATAAACGTTTTTAGTTAGCCGCGCCAAGCAACCACAATAGTTAAGTTAAACAACTTCTTTTCAAACATTTAAAAAAAGGTCTGGTGTGAAGTGTAAGGCTTTTATCGCTGAAAAAGTTAGGCTACGTCAGTCCCTCAAAACGCAAATCCTTAAAATAAAACCATAATGACAAAAACGGACATTTTACTGACTCTATATATCACGTTATAACAAAAAAAATTCGAGTTTTTGCCAGTTGCGATTGAACCAAGGCTTTTTAATGTCGAGATGAAATGTTAATGAAGACTAAAAATTCAAAATTTTGGAAACCATTCCGAACTTTACAGCTCTGAAAGTTGTCATTGAGAAGTGTGGAAAAATGCCTCCAAAAGAAAAACATGATACGCATTTAAGATATCGATAAAACCAATTTGATTGGCTTAAAGAAACTAACGAGGATTAGGCACACGGCAACCAAATAAARTAACAAAAGTTGATTGCTGGTCAGATCTTTTTGGAAGAGACTTCTAATATTACATCTTATATAGTCAGCATGTACATATTTTGTACAACTGTACATATTGAACAATGAAACATGCACTCCTATGTTTTAAAAAACAAACGAAAAAGATAATACAAGTAAATAAACAATTTTTAAAAACCCAGTAGTCGCAGTACCTTGAATTACTTTGCTGTCTGAGGTCCTAGGTAAATGTAGTGCCAACTTTCACATTGCCTGCATTGATTACAGTAAAGTGAACGGTAATTGTTGCTCGGTGTCTCTTTAAGAGGAAGAAGCCCGTCATCTGACTGTTTGTTTTGACTCTGCAGGGTTGTTAAATAAGTAATTTGGCTATTTTTAACTTTTAAGGTATGCGGAGATATATCAACTGGTGATGATTGATAAGGAATTGGGTTAAGCTGCCAACTTTAGTATCACAGCGGACATAACCGAAAAATTATCATTCCTGAATCAAAAACACCATGTTGGCCGGACCGATGATATAAGAAAATGTTGCAGGAGATAGAAGAATTGATGGTTAGAAAATCAATTTCAATCACTAGCATTACAAGTTACACTTTGCTAAAACATTTTACATGCCAAGCAAAATGTTCGTAACTTTATTTGAAGTATCGATTGATCTTTGGTACAACTTGGAGAGGAGTGAGTGATTACGTCACAGTGGGGATTGAATCTATTCGTATAAAATGACCAGTTACCATTTCCTCAGTCGTACCGTTCGTTGCGATAGTAACCACAATGCTGCATATCTATATGACGGAAAAGTATATCGGTGTTTGATAGGTTTCTTAGTTGGGATGATTTTTCCCCCTATCCCTCTACCCATCTGATCCGTCCCTGTGTTTCACGTAATATTTATTCTTACTGTAGCTATATTGTTTAGCTGTCTTTATTTGGTATAGGTCAAGTCTTTATGAATGAAGGCTTTAAATTTTCTGGAATTTAAAGGATAGATCTGATTGCTTATCTGGTTTTATGTATCAGTTTTCATGCTTATTTTTCTTGATAACGTAGCGTGAAAGTGCGGATTTCCGAAGGTTACATAATTTGATACACGATTGGAACAAATAAATAAACAGCCGTGCGGATGTTTTGAACTCAAAATAGGGAAAGTCGTTTTCGCTGAAGCGATGATGACGCACGATATCCTGTGCGAGTTAGGTTGGGAGGTACTCGGTGAATTCCTCTTTCATGGCTCTTCCATGGCCAACGTATTTTTGTCAGTACAAACAATCCACAATCAATGAGAATAAATCAACAAATAATTAGATAAATCCTGCTTTCTTTAGAGAGAAAAGATAAGTTCAGTGACAGTACTGATACTGATACGGTACAACAGTATCCACACAGGAGGTGGGGTGCCCCGGGGGTTGTGTTGGTCTAAGATGTTCTCCCATATTTTTATCATTACAATTTACATTTCTAAAATACTTAATTTATCAGCCGATAAAGAGTCACCTTTTTTCACTGATGTCAATAAAACGAAGGAAAGAAAGTAGCAGGAAAATTTAAAACAAACAATGATGAGACTTTGAGAATGATAAGGCGCTTGAAAACAAATCTTTTATCTGTATCTTATATATATATATACAGTCAATGTCATTAACGTTGTCCACCGAAAAAACACATTTACACATTTACACATTTACACATTTACACATTTACACTAAAAGATATATCACGTGTTTCATTATGTATTCTCTGCCTCGTGTGCGTCAGCCTGAACTTTAAATGTAAAATTCAACTCATGAATCGAAAATCCAGAATGCCCCGACCATTTAGTGAGGATTTAAGATGGAGAATGGTATTTCAGCATTTGTTTTATGCCAGAACGTTCGAGGAAACATGTGATATTTCTTTTAGTCTAAATGTGTAAATGTGTAAATGTGTAAAAGTCTTTTTTCGGTGGACAACGTTAATGACATTGACTGTATATATGTATATATATATTATTTATTTTTTGTATCTTTTATTTTTATTTTTTATTTTTATCTGTATCGTTTTTATCTTTTATAAGTTGATTCAGTTCTGTTCGTTAGCCGTATATATAATATTTTGAACGAAATCTCCAAAACTAAAAATACTCGAGCTTCAGGCCCAACTTCTCCTCTCCTCCCCTCCCCTCCCCCTTCCCTTGGGTCTAAAACGCAGGTTTAATAAATAAAGGGATAACAGTGACGGTTTCAGTTTCAGGGTTCGACGAAGCTTGAAGGTTTTTCATTGGCAAGAAGTCGGCAAGCGAATTTATTCGAATCGTTATACTGTCCAATGATTCGAAAATAAGGAAACTTTTGCTCCAAAAACGCTTTTCAACTGAGGACTGACGGTTAATCTGATAACCAATCAGAAAGCTCGTAAGAAAGTCGTTTGCATGCTATCACAATCGATTATCGACAGCAGATGTAGCTCATCGCGATGCTTTAGTCTGGTGTTTGTCGACGGATATTTTGAACTCTTACTGGCAGAATCTCCAACAGAATCTTACTGGAAGACATGCAGTATTTTTTGGTAGCCATTTAGCTACTAAATCTGTGAAATTTTGGTCATTCTATGATGAATTCCAAAGGCGAATGTTGTCGTCGTTACGTGAGAAGTACTGTGGCGATCATGGTTGCTGTATTGGTGATAGTTGTACAAGGACGTGAATCATCGTCCATTATCACAACACTACCTGTGAGAATGCCTGGTACTATGGCTAGTACGGTAAGCACATTCATCCCAGTTAATCTTACTTGTTATACAAGATATATCAATGTTGAAAAATATGCTTATAACTTATGCGTGAAAGGTATATTTTTCAAGTTGTTTTGAAGAGCATTCCTTTGCTTTGTTTTCTCAAGTTTTAAAAAAGTGCTTTGAGTTGTAGTGCTAGTAAATGTATTCTTAAGTTATATACGATTAAAGGGCAGGAAAACCTGTAAGCTTATGCTTGTTTGAAGCTAGTGTAAACTCTGCATTCAATATTTATGAATTTGAACAATACACATCTGACCAGCTGTAAAGCTTACGTTCTCCTTATCTGCATATATATTGAGCCTGATCGATCTCAGAGATTTGATTTACGGATCGATCGACCACTTTCTGTTTCAAATTTTGAAATAAAACGTACAAAACCAGGTTAAAGTGCTTTCAATGACTTCAATGCTCTTATATTTCACTTGAAAAACAAATGATTATAATATTTCCCGGCCATACCAATCGATAATTCAGATAACCGATAAGAATCAATAATAATCGATAATAATCAATATCAATTAATCGATTGATATCGGAAATCGATGAAAATAGATAACATGGAAGGGTGTGAGTATTGATTATCATCGATTTTTATGGAAAACTATCGATTATTATCAATTTTTATTGATGTGCTTAAATTGCTTTCCTGGCTGTATAAAGTTTATTAATTGCAAATATCTATTCTGATGCACAAAACCCACAATATGAGAGTTATAAACGCGACTATATTAACTATTTAGGTACATCTAAACAATATGTTAAAATTTTGGGCAATCACCTTACAATGAAAAATTGTACAATGCTGTACATCTTTTAATGATTTCTTATATCTTAAGAGTTCTTTCCCTAATCCTTAATACCTATAGAGTCGTTTGCTTGTCGTGTCCAGTTAAAATTACTCTATATATACCATAAACGAAAACTCGAACAGCAACAAACATTATTATATAATATACATATATAAATCACTGGATATCAGCAAATGAGAGCTCTGATTGGTTACTATACTCACATTGGCCCAAATGTAATGTGCAGTATAGTAATCGATGAAATTCAATATTAATTGATAAAAATCGATATGATTAGGAGTCTTGAGCTGTGAGTATCAATTTTCATAGATTTCCAATATCAATCGATTCCCATCAAATGATTGTTATTGATTATTATCAATGAATTCCAATATTTTCCAATGATCAATTTTTCTGGATTGGTATGGCTGGGTATAAAACCAGGTTAAAGTGCTTTCTATTCGATGACTTCGATGCTCTTATATTTCACTTGTAAAACATATGATTATAATAGTCACGTCAGTAATGCAATGCTGTTTCTCCGCAACTGCATCTGTATATTTGCATGAATCCTTTACTAATCGAGTCTCATTTCGCTTCACTGGTTTGGATGTTAAAAAACACTATTAAGTGTTTATCTTTTTATCCTTTTTATGCACACTTTAAACATGTTCAGTTCAATACCACAACAGCAACAGCAATAGCATCTGAATCTAATATTTGTTCTGAGGTTCCCATTTCAAATTCGTTTCCTAATCAGTTTTTTTTAAAGTGCTACTGTGACGAAAATCGCTCAAACTTGGATTCAGCTGAAACTTCCTAAGAATACTCTTTAAAGGTCCAATAATCACTGTATGAAGTGTTTTCT